GAGTTCTCCGGCGCATTTCGCGTAACTCAACCGTCATGCATGCCCGAGCACAATCCGAAGTTTTGAATGCACAAAATCTGTATGTACTTACAGTACTTGGATCGGGAACTCTCGACATTCCCATCGACTTTTCTTCTGGCTTCTTTTCAAACGTCTCCAACGTCTCCACTACGTCTTACCCCCAGAACGGACATGAAAGTCGCGGGAAGAACGACAAAAGTCCCGCGAACTTCGAAGATACCAGAGAAAAGGCGAAATAATCTTGCTGGTAGGCCTGGCTGTTATATGAGACCGACTGGACGCGCTATGTGTCGCCACCCTGATTCGCCCTACTGCTTGCCGTCCGACGTCCGAGTCGCAGTCGGGTGTCCTCGTCTATATCTTCATATGTTGAATCCGGACCTGAAAGTGAATCACAGTTTGGCTCCGCCCACCTATCGCTCACCCGGAAGTCCGAGGTACCCGGCTATGCTCCCGTTGCTCTTCACGATAGCAACTGCGAGCCCACGACTTCTCTCTCTTCCCTTGGAATGACTCTATGAATGGATATTGATCTTGATTCTGACTGTCCTTGTCCAACCGCCTCAAAAACTTTGACAGTCGTTCCACGACGGGATATGTGACAATCTAGAGCAATCATGCTAGAAAAACGGCCGTCCGCGTGGGGAAGTAGTGGTGTTAGCCCGAGACAGTCAAGTGGGATATAATCCCGTATGGCATGGCCGATCTGAGATGTTCAACTTATTCAGAGACAGTTCATGAATTGGAAGCCTTCCCCGTCCGAGAGAGCGAGAGCTTCATTAACTACGAGGTTACGGAGCTCTTCCAGTTCAAAAGAAACCAAGACTTCACGCCCTCCCTTTGGGTAAGTAAGCAATGCGAGGTGTATGAGACTTACTTATGGTAAGTATTTTTTTAGTCATGGGCCGCAAGGTGAATTTCTCATCTCTTTGTACTTGCTACGCCCGCTGGCTGATTCTGGAGAACCAGCATTCCCTTCAAACACTTCAAGATGCGAGCTTCGAAAGGTCCAACACTCAAGAGTATGTGGGGTGTTCGAATTCCCGCAGAACATCGAGGGCGAAGAAGTCGATAGGATCCACCACGAAACCACTGTGGCGACCAAGGCTGCGAACGAAGCCAAGACCTTAGACTTCAGGTCTATATCGCCATATGCACATAAAAATGTGCAACCTGATCCCATCTCAAATCCGTCTTCCTTGACCAACAACTGAAGAGCAAGAGATCGCAGTAGAGGACTTTCCGGTGGTACGCATATGCATAATTAACAGGTTCCCCTCATTCAATACAGCCATAGCCATCTTCGAAGCAGAAACCGAAACCGAAAGCAAAGGAGAAGACAGAAGACAGCGTCAGATCAAAGCAACGGCAAGGGAACCGAAATAAAAGCTCAAAAACACAAGCTACATCAACCTAAACCATTTTACTCAACTTTTTCAATCTGAAGGTCACCCAGAATGAAATTATTTCCACCTTCGGAACCACCAACCCGAACTGTGTACATAGCATGCTCTTGCTCTTGTTCTCTGTGAACTTGAAACTCTGCGTACTTATACATAAACTCTGTGTACTTATAAAGAACTCACTCATATACCAATTCGCTGTGTATCAACGCCTTTTGCTGATTCGGATGGACGTGTTCCCGCTCATGTTCCTTTGAGTCGTAATGGGTGCGTGGCTCTCTTGGGCTGTTAAATGAATCGAAATAGGGCAGTAGATAAGTGTCTATACATTCAAAATAAACTTCTGGCTTACTAGGATTGTGTGCTGTGTGCTGTCATCCTTCATACGACGCGAGTCGGTGCAAATTGGCGCGATGTTTGCACTTGTTTGAGCGTGACAGTAACGTGTGACTCCACGCGTCTTTCCTTCCCACCACCATCGTCTCGTCCTCCCAACGCTTTCCCCGGCTCTTCATCTCGATCTATACTACCCAGGTCGATTATAGGCCCTCAAATACACCATCTTACGCCGTTTTGGGGCCCATATAGCCCCGCATCGACCATCAAACACAGAAATACGCGATTTTCACGAGATTCACCAAGAAGGACGCGTAACTCTTTGCCAACTCCAGGAGGGGGCCTGAAACCTGAGATATGGATACTGATACATCCCATATAACACCTCAATGCTTCAAAACCGCACCCGGATCCCGTTTACGCGGTCCGAATCGGGTACAACGGGCGCAGAGATGTATTCACGGTGCGCTCGGTCCTATCATGCAATTTTTCCGTGTTAAACTAACACCATGCACTCTCGGGACTCTAAGCCAACCTCTCCTTGTCATCCGCGCCGCCAGGAAGACTCCGGTATACTACGAGTGGTGAGTCTTCGTTGTCTTCTCACCCTCCTTCCCTCCCGCCATTAGTCCGGCTCCCCCACCCTCAACACCTCGCTTTCCCGCTGCTCCCCCCTACTCCTCCCATGCATCTTTCGATAGCGTTCTCTCTACCCCTTCTCCCTTTCATTCCTTTGACTCGCTGATACGAGTGCTCCTCTAGTTAGACTATACCTTTCTTTGACGCCGTGTATGTGTTCCGAGACCGGTGCATTGCCTGATCCTAGTCTCCTTCTCCCCTCTTTTTCTTTCCAGATCAAGCGTGTGGTCTACATACTGCTGCTCACGGTGTTCGAAGAATGGAAGTACAAGGTACATCTCACGCATTGTCGGGCTCTTATTGACTAACATCTGGCTTCAGAACATACACCCTTCTCGCCAACAAACGCCGCGCCTTGAGTAGGAAACTCCTCTGCGAACCTCCTCGCCTTGCTCGCCGCGGACTACCGCAGCACCATCGCCTGCGTCGAGCGCATCACAGGGCACGGCGAGATCACCTGGAGCCTCCTGTACGCGATCCTCGTCCCGCGCACGCTCGTCGTCGCGCGCTGCACCATCCCGGACGTCGTTGACCACCCCGTGTCGCAGAGCGCGCTGTCGGCTGCATCGCGACAGTAGTGTACCTGCCATACTTGAAGGCGGTCCCCCATCGACACGCTGGATGCGCTTCCGCTAAGGTACCATGGCGCGGAGGCGCGTTTGAGGGGACGGAAGTGGATGAACCTGATCGGTTGCAACATTCACAGTACGGGGGACTGCGGCGTTGCGGTGCATGGACAAGGTGATGAGGCATACTGTGCGTGGTCATTCTCCCTTCCCTCCCCTTCTCTCATTCTCCTCCTCTGTGGTCTCTTTCAGGGTATGCTAACGAAATTGTGCAGGTCAAAGGTCGCATCATGGTCGACCGCGGTACGTCCCCTTCTTCCTCGTCTTTCTCCTGAAACTGACCTTCCAGCGACCTTCCACCGCCTCATTCCAAGCTGTTCATTCCCCACGCCCGTTCCTCAGCCGGTTCTGTACTGTTCTTGTCTTCCACATCCTCCCTTTATTCTCACGTACTCACGTATGCACAGGATCTCTTCCGCGCGTATGCCCGTGTACCGTCTCCTCGCGAGTACCGCAGCAAGCTACCGAGGACCTCATTCATGTAGCGATGATGCCAGTCATGAATGCCGTGCGTACTCTCCTCTATGATCTTCGGTCTCCTGCTCGCCGGGTCTTTCTCAGGCTGTGCGGGGTTCCGTAATGCGCATCCTCTACGGTTTGTCGCCCACGTCTTTTTCCATCTGACTTCGTCCTATCTGTCATCCCACTTCCGTTTTTGCACCGTCTTTCTATTTCCATCGGCGCCTCATTTTGATTTTCGACAGTTATGTCCCTCTCTTATTTATTTACATCTGTGATTTACCAAGGTTTCGTATCAGTGTCGACGCCTCAAAATGCACTGTTTCACGGACCGCAGAATTTCTTTATCGAACGCGCACTCACGTCGTCTAGAACTGATTTCCTTTTCCAAAGCTGTGGGACGGCGTTCCTGGCCAATCATTCGAACCGAAGTTGGTGAGTTTCCTTTTGTTCCCCCCTTTTCGAGTATCCTGCCAAATCTACCTTCCTTTACGCTCCCTTTTTATGGGACGCCCGCATCCTCCTCCCTCTCCGTCCGCCCCGTCTCCCAAACGTGGTGTCGCCGTTTCCCTTTCTTTTCTTCCTACTCTTACATTTTCCTCGTTCTTTCATGACTCCGCTTCTTCCTTGTATCTTCCAGTAAAGCTAAACAGCATCTATAGAATTTTGTTGCTGTGCACGGACGACGGGCCGGCGCTAGGCGAGTTTCCTTGGCATATTCTCCTGCGCTGATCGTTCTAACGCACGAGAAAGTGTAAACAGGACAAGCTTGCGCGCTTGGCCTTTTCCGTCCGGCGCGACTGCCTCAGGTGACTTACTTCTGTTGTTCTTGTCACCTTCTCACTGTTTTTTTCTCCCTGTGAAATCGTGGTTACAAAGATCAAGTCTGGTTTTCCAACAGATGCGTCGTTCAAATGTTTCCTCTCCGATTCTAACTACGTCATTTTTTCAGTCCATGTCGGTTTTTCCCAGCCAAGTCCTCGGCGAGTGGTACAGTTCCACCCTTGTTTTCTTTCGCTTTTGGTCGGCGCTGACTTGGCTCTCTCAGTTATTTCTGTGTCGCATTGGCTTGATCCTCGCGTTACCCAGCCAAGACGATGTAATTGTGGCTACCTGGGTACGTATGGACGGTAGATTACGCTGCCTGTGTAATATACAGTGGATTAATATACACATTTTTGCGCAATTAATTGGCCCGTTGTAACACAATCAAATCAATTGCCCTACACCCTCGAACCGACTACCTACGCACACTCGGAGATAGAGACATTTCCGCCAAACTGCAGTCGGTCCAAGTGTGGTTTTACACTCGGTCCAAGTGTGTGATGGCAGTCGGTTCAATTGCTCCGCCACACTTGGAGCAAGTGTTTCGAAGCATTTGATCCAATTGCTCAAACTTTCTACAGTGAATCATCGACTGGTGGCCGACGTCGACTGTGAGACAAGGTGCCTGTGACACGGCATTAGAAGGGGGAAGGGGGAGAAGAAAAAGAAAAAGATCACCCCGCAATGTGTATGCCCCAAGCAGGATTCGAGCCCGCGTCATCCGAAAGGTCATTGATGCATTGATTATTGAAAGCGGAAGATCTTCCAACTGATCTACTAGGGCATAATGAAATGGTTCAAGTTGGTTTTTATGGTGATTGGCACCCATAACAGCAGTTATGCTCTCCCAAATTTCTCGCGGTGCAGCTGTTGCTCATTCAAACTGTCAGTAGGACCGTAGACGGTGCCGGATATTTGGGGATACTTGAGCTTGGAGAACGCCGAAGTTGAAATATTGGGGGAACGATGAGTACAATACGAAACAAGAAAAAAAAGACAAATTCCACCCAGTGTACGCCCGGGCCGGGATTCAAACCCGCGTCGTCCGCTTAAAAACCGTCGGTCATTTGCAGCATTGTTAGCGGAGGATCTTCCCACTGATCTACCAGGGCTTGATGAAATGGTCCATGTTGGCATTGCACGGCGACGCGCCCATTGTGCGCAAAATTTCTGGACAGGCTTGAAAAGGATGCATGGATGCAGTATGGGAGGCCTACGCAAGATGAAAAAATACGGAGACCGAGACTAACCCGTAAACGGTATAAGGCCCACCGAGATGCACTCGGGCTTGAGAGTGGATATAGGTGTCAAAGTAGGCGCGCTTCGCAGCGTGCAGGTGTGGGGTTAGATTCGGAGGAAATATTCCAGAAATTACAGTGGAGGATCCATCCTCAGGCTGAGAGTGTATGATATATATATCCGGCAGCCGGCTCTTCCGAGTCGAACCACCTCAGTCACAGTTGTATTAGACCGCATTGTTCTAACTGCTGTTAGAATCGACGTGCATTGGAGCGTGTAAACGAAAACGAAAACGAAAACAACCACACAAAGAACGCCTCCTGTTGCTATGAGCCAGGCGGGGCTCGAACCCGCGTGGTTGCAACATAGCATCTTCCTGCTGATCCACCATGTCATTAGCTGCCAGAAAGCAGCATCGTCACACCGTGCTTCAAATCGGCCTTTCACGGCGATGCCCAAATTGCTCCGGAGATTCATGAGGCGGACACGGAAGATGAGATTTGCTTGGGAACAAAAAGACAAGATGACTTTCCCCTATACCCCGGCCGCGAGTCGAACCCGCATCATCCGCTGAAACGGTTAAAGATAAAGCGGATTCAAAGAGGAGGATCCACCGAGATCCACCGGGGCTTGCAAGTAGAAATATGTCTGTGCAAGTACAAGTACTATTAGCCGCGCTTTGCAGCCCCAGTTGGTTGAAATTTACCCACATGCCTGAGCAGTGGGCTATACCCAAGCCATACCGCACCCTCTTCCTTGCCAAATTCATGAACCATGATATGATTTCCAGTCAACGCTCTCGGCCAAATCGTTTCTTGGCTCATGAGGTCACATTGAAGAAACAATGAGATTGCCAGATTGCCCAGTCTTGATGGCGCATCGAGGGTTCAACGATGGCGCGTCAATATTAACTTCGCTTTAGAACGTCGGCAGTCTGTTCTACCTCCATCCCTTTGTTTCCCGTGGGCTGTGCTGTAGAAATGTGAAGATGTTATCCGACCAAGAGAGTCACCGTGGCACGCCAGACGGGACTTGAACCACTGTCTTCCAAAAGAACTAAACGCGGGAATTCGATTCCTACAAAACTGGCCGGGCTCGTGCACTCGATTGCCCGGAGCTTGTAACGCGGTGGGTGTAGTAGCTATCCACGAGCGCAGCAATCGATTCCGACGTGGGATTAGACGATAAGTTGAAAAGAAGACGGCCGTTTCCAGCTCACGGCTTCGAAGCATGTTTGTAGCATTCTACGAACCGATTCCAACCGCGCGTAATTGTGCTTGAACCGTCGACATCTTTTCTGCCCCGAGCCGAATCGTGATGCTTTCTTGGCTTCCGGGTACGTGATTCTCAGATTGGGCAGAGAATCGGGCAAGTATCGCAACCTATGACTCGGCATTGAAAGCGAGAAATATTTGGTACGTAGGTTTGCCTGTGTCCAGCGCGACGACAGCTGATTGGATCTCCGCACACAACAGCCACGCTGTCGACGAAAGCATAAGTATAATGGGACATAACTAGAGAAATGGATGTGCATGAGGGTCGCCGTACTTGAACTCAACCACACAAGTAACGGGTAATGTGTAACGTCTCACCTAGATTGGATTACTCCATAGGCAACTTCGAACCAAGCCCCAATTATTTCCAAGATGGCTGGTGAATTTTTCTCTGGGTCGCTGTTCCGGTACCGGTTACCGAGTTCAACCTGTTGTGCTATGTTTCGATGAATTTGGTACCGTGGAGTCTCACGACTGGTAAACACTCACCAGGAGACTTAAAAAACGTTGTAGAGATGAGCTATTAGGGATCGGCACCGTACCGTATACGGCTACGGCCGTACAAGTTACGGTGCTTTACGGTACGGTTTCCACCCGTCACCGTACCGTAAAGTGCGATCCAGGAGGGCTTACGGTACGGTACGGGGGTCCATATTGTACGGTATTTTACGGTCTTTACGGCCGTATACGATCAATGAAGGCGTTTTGAATACCCAGTCTCGCTTGTTGCTCACTCACCCCGTCCCGTAGCAGCTTAAATTCATATGGAACTCATCGCTCAACTCCGCTGTACTCACCTCCATTCCACAACGGGGCTGGCGCACAGCCAAGCTCGTTCAGTATCTGAACACCGACTGCTTGCCGACTCCAGAAATTCAGACGCGGGACCATCAAGTGCCGAAGACGTCCAGTCACACCTGTGGACGAACCGAATGCCCCCCAAAATGCCTTGAGGTGATATTTGGACGCTGTCAATGTTAATTGGGAGGGGTTGATTATTGCCAGGATTTACGGCCGTACACTCGCCGTATGCGGCCGTATGTTTACGGCCGTACGGGCTGTTCTGACGGTCAACGGCCGTAGCCGTACAGCAGGCCATTCCGGTCCATACGGTACGGGTACGGGAGGCCGTATACACCGTACCGTACGCCGTATTTACGGCTACGGTGCCGATCCCTATGAGCTATAAGTCTCTTTCACCTCACTCCCACTTTGGTTGTTTAAAAACCGTTTCCGTTTAATTTGAGCGGATCCATATACGAAAACTAAATGGTTGGAGCCTTATTTAAGCCCAATGAACCCGACCGACGGAATCGGGCCATAACCTAAGCAAGATTATGAGTCAGAAGGCGGCAATCATTGGCTGCGCGGCCGCGATGAAATAGCCGGAGAATTTTGGCAGAGAGATCAAGTGTGCGATCATTTTACGCAAAAACTGCTGACGAAAATGTGATTTTCACAAACAGAATTTATTCTGTTTTGTGCTAAGATATACCCCATCCACCCTCGACGAACATCATGTGGTCGGTTCCCATTTTGGGACATTTTGGATAGAAAAATCTGTAGGATAATTAGCGGGCCACTTTGGCTCAATCCCTTCGACCACATTTTAGATATGGGCGTATTCTTGCCTCTGAATCAAAGAAACCGGGTCAATATTAGTGGTAGACTCTTGTAATTCCCAATCTGCGACCATTATGCCAATATTTGGCCCTTGTTTGTCCCGGATCACTCGTTGCGGAGGTGGGGCCACTATCCGCGAATTGCAGGCTTCATATCTTCATCCTCATCTCTGATTATTTTTTTCTAGGTACTTAACATGTATTAGCAAAATGTGGTCGAGGGGATTCTGACCTGGGTACCTCGTTACTTCAATACTAATTGTTTTCGTTGGTTTCGCCCGAAATGGGAACCGACCACGTGATGTTCGTCGAGGGTGGATGGGTTATATCTTATGAGTACCAAAAATGACCCCGAATCGGCTTATATAATCACTCGATGAAGAAACTACATGTGACGTAGAGATCGTGACTCGGTCCGAACGGTCCGGGTTCATTTCTTCAACTTAACTTCGACATGAACAGCTTGTCGGTGGGTGAGAACTACTGGGGAAATTATTGGACCAGTGGGTAATAATCAAAAACACTTTTCTGCTGTCCTGGTCATGGCGGTGACCACAGATATCCCTAGACTCGTAACCAGCCTGCCTACGCCATTCTAACAAGGGGACCTTGTTGCCTACGCCAACAAGGTCCCCTTGTTAGAATGGCGTAGGCAGGCTGGTCACGAGTCTAAGATATCCCGTCCAAGATGCCGTTGCTATCTGCAAAGTTTTCAGTATGTTGCGTTCCGTTTACCCCTTCATTTTGAGCTGCTTCTGTCAGGGAAGACCGGCCCTTTACGTAGCTCTAAAGACTCCAAGCCCAAGCACTATTTCGAATAGTAACAAATTATCTGTGCCCAGGAATGATGAACTTTCCCGTAACTGTTGCGTTCGACTTCCCCGCGGACCGCCCCTCATTTAAAAAATCAGGCACTTGTGATCTCTTCCTTACCGAGTCTACGAGACCCAAAGCCACTAGACTCTATGATACCCCTCAAGAATCACCGTTGAAAAAAATCACACTTACTAGATTCATTTCAGAATCATGCCGCCCGCTCAACCAATGATATTGGAATTGGTTGAACAGAGACCTAATGGTCCAAGCTGTTTGTGACCCGCCGCTTGCCGGCCTACCCCAATCATACTCAAAACTAAAAATCAGGCGCCCTATATAAACCCTTACCTAACGGTAACGGGAATATAAGATGTGATATGTCAAGTCTCGAATCGCGATGTCTCTCCCCAAGCAGAACACTAGTAGCACTTTTGCTGCAAGCTTTGGAGCTCCAGAGGAAGTACACCCTGTTTTGATAGCAGGTGCAGGTACGTGTAATGGCACTTCCTGGAATATTGCGTCTGATGCCGGGGCACAGGACCTGCGGGAACCCTTCTCGCGGTAAGTCGTTTGGACTGTTGAGGACTGGAAGTTTCTCATTGTTATCCAGCTCTGTCTGGCACGCCTCGGTGTCCGTCCTTTGAGTGTGGACTCCAACCATTTCATCGACCACGAATGGGGCCGTGGCGATGCGCTGCTTTGTCGGTCAGTGATTCAGAAACTGTGGGTTGACCTTGTAGATGTACTTATCAAGTCAGGACTATCGAGGTACTCCGTAATCTCGGTGTGGGTGAGGCTCTGATTGGGAGTGGGAAGCGTATCCCCGAACGCGCGTATTGGGTCAGTCAGGTCTACAGCGATTATTTTTTCTGCCTCCTGAAATTATAATAGGACATGACGGCCAACCCTCCAGTTTGCACGGCACTGAGCGACTTCTTCCCGGCGGAACTCGACATTGAAGATTTATACGCGTGCGTTTTGTGTCCCCGTACGATGAACATTAATCCGAACCCGTATTCAGACTGGCGATCCGTCAAGGTCTGGTCGAGAAAATCCTCACGGACGCGACCACGGCATCATGCGGGGCAACAGTGCTCCGCCCATGGGCCGTCGTGGATGTGCAACTGGATGAAAAGGATGCGGAAAATAATCCCGTTATCG